GGGGGGGGGGGGGATTATTGATGCGGGTTTAATTTTTTTTGGGGGGAGAGGAAACGAGGTGTTGGATAACGTAGAAGGGAAGAGTATTTTTAGAGAGTTTTGATGAGTAATTTGAGGAAGACGCGAGAAATTCTGGGTTTCAGGGAATTTTTTTCGTGTTGGGGGTGGGAGGGTCTCGAGAGGGTTGAGAGGGTTGATCAGGGAATTGAGGAGGGAAGGTAATCGCCAGTTTTAACTGACCAATTTCTGGAGCATAAGAAAGATACCTGACCACAGAGTCCCAAAAAATATATTCGCCACACTATTTAATCATTTAGTGCTAGTCACATTTCAATGTCTTCCTACGAATAGTTGGAAGACGTTTAAAATATTAAAAACGGTCCAGGGCCTCCAATTTTTGAGGTACAGCGGTTTTTTTCTTTTCAAAATTTTTCAAAAAATGTGTACAATAACAATTACGAATTAGTTTTTTGAAATTCGACTCCTACACAGCTAATTCCGTTTAGTTTAATATAAAAATTTGCACTAATCATGTAAAATAGGCAGAAAAATTATCTTTAAAATATGAAAAGTATATTCTCGATTCTTTCAAAAATATTTTTCAAGCTATTTAACATGAACGGTGCAATTTTTTACTACAATAATAACGAAATTAGCTGTGGAGGAGTTGAATTTCAAAAAACTAATTCATAATTGTTTATTACACATATTTTTTTAAAAATTTTGCAGAAAAAAAAATTTGTAGCTCAAAAATTGGAGGCCCTGGACTATTTTCCACATTTTAACCGTTTGCGGGGTAAACGGACAATAAATAATTAGTTTTATTGCACTAATTATTCCTTTTTAGACTATATAATCGATCTTCAATGTATGAGAAATTTCATTCCAAAAGCCCGCAACCTTTAAAACTCATAGTAGTCTCCTCTTAAGGGGTAACAGAAGGCCATCGTTTTCTCGAAATTTTCAAACAAATTTCCTGCTCAAAGTTATTAATGTTTTTGGCATCCACAGCACATTGATCCTTATCATCGTCTCCTGCAGATTAATGTGCTTTGATCTGTAAAAATATCGATAACTTTCGGCAGGAAATTTGTTCAATTGGAAGAATTGTAATAATCTTGAAGTATTAAAATAAACTGATGGCAAAATCCAGATAAAATGGGGCGGTTATTCTTATGACAGAAGCTAAACATCTATATAGTCCTAGAAAACTTCTTTTCTGTGGTTTCTATGATTTCTATTGTCAAATTGTTGATTTTGCAATGACAACAACAGAACTATTTGTTCCAAAGGGAAACGAAATTTTTGTCAGACTATAAGCGGCTCGACAGGTCTGACATTGGACAGAAAACAAACTAAGGAAAACAAATTAATCATACAAGTGACTATACATTCAGTTCCAATCAATTCTCAATCACTGGGGGAATGGCCAATCACTTTATTTTGTGACAATATCAAAATATAATGGCCAGCTACATTCAAGGTCACTGGTCTACTCACCTTGGCTACATCTACGGTACGTGGATAGTGGCACGTGGGCAGTAGGTCTCGACAGAGATGAATTCCCTTTCTCACGCCCATCTCTGAATGTCGTTAGCAGTCGTTAAGATACAGTACGGTTCGAACTCTCGATCGGATCACACCGAGTGTCCTCTTAACGTGACTGTAATGAATTGTATTTATTTAGTCAACTCCATTGTGTCAGTGGATTAAATCGTCCCATCGGTATTTTTAACCCTTACAAAAAGACATTTTTTGTAGAGAATTTTGTAAGCTTCAGAAAAGGCCTGAACACTGAGAAAAAAAATTGCTTTTGCTAGGAATCATTTTCTCGGGAGAAGAATTTATTTTTTTAGGAGCGTATTTCTCCACGCCAGTCATTCCCAGATGGTTCATCTTCAAATATTGCATATTACAATGATGTGATAATTAAAATTTTGAATTATTCCTAATTATTTTACGTAAGAAAATTTTGAAAATCTTGAAAAACTTGAAAATTAACAAAGGGTGTTCATTCAAGGTCTTATGTACCCTAATCATCTCATAATTCAACATAATTCAGTATCGAAGGGGTGAAATGATTTAAGTCGACTCATTTCCCAGATGAATTTTTGAGGAATATTTCCGAATCTAAGGGAGATAGCGAAATTTTCGTAATTGCATTTGTTGTAGTTCTCAATCGGCTCTACAAAAAAGGTTATAACAAAAGTTTTTCTATCTTCCTTAGATTCTGAGATATTTATTAAAAACTGGTCAATAGTCAAAATTGACTTGCACTGTTTTACCACTTTGCTACTGAGTTGTAATATTTGGAGATGGACGTGAACTATCTGGGAGTGCTTGACCTCGAGAAATACGTTACTAAAAAAATTAATTCTTTTCCCAAGAAAATTCTTTCTTGGCAAAAGTAATTTTTTTGCTGAAAGAAGATATTTTTTCGTGGAATGAGTTATTATGAAGATAATTACGTATGTGTGAGTCCTCGGGAGTGAAAAAAAACTGCTGAGATATGGGGAAAACTTTGCGCCATGAATTCTCGGCCAAACGGAGACGGAAAAATCTGAAAGATGGCCTAAAAAATTTGTTCATTTTCTAGAAACTGTATAAAGTGCGTTGAGGGTGATCTGAAAAGAATAACTAACTCTAAGAAATGTTTAAAAATATGAGGTGAGACTCCGCCATCTTAAAAGCCTCTTGCGGCAGAGGGAAGGGGTATCTCAGCAAGCTGGCAGCCGCACCTGTCAACCACCTCGCATCTTTGAACATTTCTTAGAACTATTTGCCCCTTTCGGATCACCTTCAATTCGTTCCATCTATTTCCTAGAAAATGAACAAAGTTTTCGAGCCATCTTTCAGATTTTGGCATCCCTTTTCGGCTGAGAATTCACCTATGAAAATTTTCTCCGCATTTCAGGAGCATCTTTTACCATCCGAAGCGTCTTAAAAAATGAAAAAATCGTCTCCTTAAATTCCAGAGCACTAACAATTCTAAAATGGCCATCACAAGCCGAATAATCTCCCTCCTACGAGCGAAAACCACCCTTCACGAATTGAACGCAGTGATGGCGAGGAGAACAGCCATCACAACTCGGTCAGGAGCTGTTCTGCCAGAGCCCAAACGAGAGCCCTTCGGACTATTCAGGGTAGTCGTGGGAGTTGTTGTTGGTGTCATGATTGGAGCAACTCTCAGCAAGAACATTGCCAACTTCCTCGAGGAGAATGATTTATTCGTGCCCAGTGACGACGATGATGACGACTAATCTTGTCGGACTTGAGATAGATTTTAAACTAGTAAATTATTGAAAATCTAGAGTTTTATTCTATAATAATCTATTGACTGATGAATTGATTTATTTTTGAAGAAAATTTGGAGTGTTGTGAAGGACTTGGAGATGCTCTTCAGCGACAGACTGCTTTACCTGACAATTTCCTCATTGATATATTGATAAAACAGAAGTCATTATTGATGTTCAATTGCATTTTGAACATTTATGGGAGAGTAGAGTAAACCGAGTCATCTTCAATCGTCAATAGCTCGAGAATGGCAGAGTGAAATTTTTCGACTTGTTTTTCTCGTTTTCAAGGTTTTTTTTTTCAAGCTTTAAAATGAGATGTGATACATCCAAATGGTACTATCTGGTCAGGAGATATTGAAGATTGAGAAAGGTCCATCCCACTCTCCCCTATTTATTGTAATTATTTTTCTATTTGTGATTTTTTAATGTACATATTGAATTTTTTGCGGTTAAGTTGGTAGTTTAACTTTCGATAATTGTTGATACTCGTGTGATAGCTTTTCTTATGCTTCGGAATGTGTAAATGTAAGGAGGGATTGACTAATAAACTTGTTTTATTGAAATTACTGATTTCGCATTTTTTCCGCTTTTTCATTTTTTGTAATAAAATGTAAAAAGTCTACTCGGTGCATTCTAGTTAAATTTCGTATTTATTTATTAAACAATTATTTTTTATTATTTTACATATGTACGATTCTTCTATTAAAAATGATAAATAAATAATAATCAGAGATATGTAAATAAATAGTTATTGCTTGTTAATTTTGACTTTATGCTCTTGAACTTGTGCATCGTCATTTGTTCGTATTAATTTAATTAGTTATGATTCATAATTGTTAAATTAAGTGGAGAAAATGGAAGAATTCAATGGTAATCAGGGGAAGTGGCGAAACGTAGAAGACAAATTCGATTTTTTGCCCATCTTGTTGACTATTAAATGAGCGATTTGAGGGGAAGAAGTTGACAGATTTTTATTGAAATTAATTTCCCCTTCATTACCAGAATGATTGCGTAATTAACACGAAGTAAAAATGATAAATAATTCTGAGAAATGGTTGGAAATACGAGGTGAAGGCGCCGCCATCTTAGAAACCCCTTCCGGCAGAGGGAGGGGATATCCAAGCAAGATGGCGGCGCCCACAGCTACCACCCACCTCGCATCTTTGAACATTTATTAAAATTATTCATCTTCTTCAGCTCCCCTCCAACTCGTCTCATCCAGTTCCCAAAAAAGAACAAATTTCTCAAGCTATCCCCCAGAGTTTTGCATCCCCCTTTGCCTGAGAATTCATCACACGAAGTTGTCTCCTTATTTCAGCAGTTTTTCTCTTGATAACGATCAACCTTCTCAAAAAATCCCAGAAGACCCTTTCAAAAGCTGACAAAATTCTTCACAAAAAAATCTCCCCCCAAATCATACGTTTCAAAAAAAAAAAATCTAAAAATTCCCTCATTACGTTTCACCACTTCCCCTCAACAAAATTCCCTATCCAAAAAACCCTCAACAGTTCATAATCCCAAACCCCCCTCGCCCCCCCCCCCATAAAAAATCCCTGGAAGACAATTCCCCCTCACTCTGGTGGTTTCTTATGCATGCCCCAACCATGAAAACACTTGGTAAACCTCCTGCTCTCCTTCCCCTTAGCAGTGAGAAAAAGTTTCCTGGGGTTCTCAGGCTGCTTGACCCTGAGATGTTGAATATAAACCTGAGCAGACTTGTACGCAAGCTTGATCTCAACTTCAGAACACCTCGTTCCAAGCCACAAGAACACCTGCTCCCCATTATCGAGGATCATGATGTCATCATCAGCGAGGTCATCCTGACAGAAGTCAGTGCACTTTTCACTGATGACGAAATATCCTTTTTCGTTGGAGCACCTGAAGAGTCTCGTGTACTTCATGAAATCAGCGTCAGTCTCGTAGTTCTTCTTTCCCCCCAGCCCCACCCAGAAGAAGTTGTCGGGCTCCTCGCCCTCATTGAGCACCTGGAGGCTGATCCAGGGAGTGTTGAACATCTCCTCGGCGATGTCCTGAATGAGCCTCTGCTCCTCGGGATCAGACTTGGAGCCCAGCCAGACATAAACAATTCCCGTTTCTTCGTCGTTGTTAAAAGGAACATTGAGGATATAGCAGAAGGATGAGTTGAGAAGGCTAGCATCGGGCTGGATCTGGATTAACCTAGTGCAGAGAGCACTGCCATTACTCCTGAGGTGAAAGAACTCGACAGGCGTCGATCCTGGAGCCTTTCCTTTTCGCTTTCCATGATGAATGATGAATTTCCGCTTGAAGTGCGCCATAAACTTGAGGTTCTCCTGCTGCTGGTGGGTCCTGACCACCTCGAGTTTCTCACCGAAGAGGGTCTTGAATTTTTTTTGCATGGAGAAGGTGAAGGTCAACCAGCCCATGTTACCGGCGTCCCGGCCCTGCCAGAAGTATACGATGCACTGAAAGTCGTCTTCGTATTGCTGCTCCTCTCCGTCTTCGTTTTCCATGTCGAGAGGTATCCAGTACCTGGGACGAGGAGGATAAAAATATTGTCAATGGTTATAAGCCGTTATTAATAGTGATTTACTATATATTACATGAATTCAATTTTGATACTTGAGATATTCTCGCTGTGGCGATGCTGTTGTTAATAATCATTAACCATTTTTAATCGTCATTAATAATGTTCAACCATTATTAAGGAGTGTTAACGCTCGTTAACGATTATTAATCACTATTAAATTTTTTTTTTGAGTATCCACTATTAAATTTTCTCAAATATCATCAACAATCGTTAACCAAAATTAACCACGTTTAACCATTGTAAATGATTATTAGCCGTTGTCAACCATTATTAACAGTTTTAAACAATTATTTACGACTTTCAAATATCACCAACAATCGTTAATCAACATTAACCATGTGTCTGCATTGTTAACGATTATTAACGGTTGTTAATCATCATTAACACTGATGAACCATCATAAACATTGTTCAATAATTGTTAACGGCTATCAACAGTAACCACTAGAAACCACTATCTACGACTTTCAAACATTACCAATGATTAACCAACATTAATCATTTTGAACCCCTGCTAACCATTATTAATCATCATTAACACTTATTTAACTATCCCGAAGAAAACCGTGAAAAAGCCTTTAACACGTTTTTTTTCAAACCATATTTTGAAATATCATTAACAACTGTTAATCAACATTAATCATGTTTAACCCCCCTTGATAATTACTAACGACCGTTAACCCTTGTTGACGATTATTAACCACTATTATCAACTTTCGCCGCCGAACCTGGATTAACAATCGTTAATCACCATTACCAAATATTAACCCCTATTTACGAGTGTTAACCACAGTTAATACCCATTAACCACCACTGACAATCCCAAAGGCATAAAAAAAACATGATAAAAAACCCTTTAACATATTTTTTTTTCAAACCATATTTTGAAATATCATTAACAACTGTTAACCACCATTAATCATGTTTAACCCCGATTAACAATTATTAACAAACTCTAACCTTTGTTTTGTTGACGATTATTAACAACTATTATTAACTTTTGACTCCTAACCACGATTAATAATCGTTAATCACCATTACTAAATATTAACCCCTATTTACGAGTGTTAACCACAATTAATACCCATTAACCACCACTGACAATCCCAAAGGCATAAAAAAAACATGATAAAAAACCCTTTAACATGTTTTTTTTTCAAACCATATTTTGAAATATCATTAACAACTGTTAACCACCATTAATCATGTTTAACCCCGATTAACAATTATTAACAACCTCTAACCTTTGTTTTGTTGACGATTATTAACAACTATTATTAACTTTTGACTCCTAACCACGATTAATAATCGTTAATCACCATTAACGAATATTAACCCCTATTAACGAGTGTTAACCGCAATTAATACCCATTAAACATCACTGGCAATCCCATAGGCATCATAACTCACCTGCAAAGGAACACATAACAATCCTCGCTATAGAAATGGCCCAGCTCCTCCTCCGGAAGTCTCACGAACTTCCTCTTCTCCAAAACGAACGCCTCCATGACTTCAAGGTCATCACTCCACTCGTTCATCAGCTGCTGCGCCTCAGTATTAGACATCTGGGGCTGCCTCGGCATGAACAGCGCAGCAAGATCAGCTTTGGTGTCTTGTTGCTTTGCCCACTTGGTCAGATCAGCCCCAGTTTTAGCGACAGACTCAGCAGTTCTCGTGAAGTCCACAGCAATGACCTCATCCCACCCCGTGAATTTAGACTTAAATATCTGGGACTCCGTTCCTTCCTGAAGGCGAGTCACCATGGCAAAATCGGGTCGATCAATCATGTTGAAGAGTTCCTGGGACAATTTCACAGCTGCCGCCCTAACAAGTCTCGTCGACTTCTTTCCAAACCAGACAAAGACGTCTAGGTAGCAGTCCAGTATGTAGACGTTTCTATTATTCAACAGGCTATTCGACAGTTTTCCGTGAGGAACTTCGACCTGAGGAAGCTCCAGGTAGCCCATGCCCAACCTAACTTGATACAGCCTCGGGGTGACAGGGACAAAGTCCTTGTCCACATGCTCCTCGATGGCCTCTGGTGGATCTCCCCCGAGTGCCTCCCAGAACTCGTCCGACTCAGTTCCCATCGTCTCCATGATGATCTCCGCCTTGTTCTTCCTCTCATTCTTATTGATCTTCTCCGCCAGAAGACGGGATTTCGATTTCAATGTGTTTTTCGCATTTTTACCGTACCACATGAAGATCCTCGTCCCCACGTCGAGAACAAAAACAAAGCCTGGGTCGAGACTTCCTGGGGAGAAGACCACGGGTTCAAGGTGGATGGAAGCCCCAGCTGCATGCACCCGGTACAGCCTCGCTATCGCCGGTGTGTCTTCAACGGTGTAAAATCCTGAGGAAGTCCTGCCGCCCTCGATGTACGTGATGTCGGAGTCGAAGAGCATGAGGAACTCGTCGCTCTCGTCCCCTTGCTCCTCCCTGATGGTCCTGCACTGGGCGCCGAGGAAGTTCCTCAGGTTGACAGCGTGAATGGCAGCGCAGGCGCGCTTGTCCAGGGTCGCCTTCTCTCCGATCCAGAAGTAAATCGCCCAGAGGAGGGAGCCCGCCTCGTCGAGACTCGTCTTCAGGATGATGTAGCAGTCGCCTTCGTAGAACTTGCCGTGGGCGACTTCCTCGATTTGATTCGGCAGGAAATTCTCAATCTCCCAGACTGAGAGACCTGGCACTTGCCCTGCGTCCTCGTCGAAGATCTCGGAGTAGTCCAACGGCGGCTTTTCGAGGCTCTCGTCCCATCGTTTGGGTTTCAGGGACTCGGTTTTTATATCGTCTTCATCCTTGTCTTTGTTTTTTTCACCTGGGATGGTGCAGGAATTAATGCTTCATTATTATTTCTTGCTTGATTATTTTTATTTTCATTTTTGAGAGGGAATTAATAACAACGTTTGATGATTTTTAACCATGTTTAATCAATGTTAACAATTATTAACGATATTAACGGTCATTAACATTGATTAACCAGGATTAATCGTGATTAACCATTGTTAACGGCTATTAACAACTGTTATAAGTTGATGACAATAATTAAAGGACTATTACGGATAATCATTAACAGTGGTTGGCCATAATTAACCATTATTAACTATTATTAACGTTTATTAACCATGTTTAATCATTGTTAACAATTATTGGGGAAGAGTGGGGCAAAATGAATCTGCGATCCACGTAAATTCTTGATATCTTCGTTTATAAGCAGAGATATTAGGATATTGTCGATGACAAATCTTCCACGTTGCCCTACCTCCCCGTAACGAGTGTTAATCCTTGTTAATGATTATTAACCATTTTTAATACTCGTTAACAACCATTAACAACTATAACAATAGTTAATCAACGTTAATCACATTTAATATCAGCCACAGTTGACAATTATGAACAATAGTCAACCATTATTGACATTGTCTTACCATTATTAATGGTGATCAATAATTATAATATAGTAATAGTTAACAACCGTTAATAATTACAAAAATGATGAATTATCATTAACCACAACTTGCCACTAAAAAATTCCTCAATCTCACCTGCAATGTCCTTCATCCCCCTCAAGATCTTCGCCTGATCCTGATCGGCCTCCTCCTGATCCCTCCTCCTCCTCAGCCTCAGCTTCCTGGCAATCGGATCCTTCGAACTGTTAACAGTCTGCGCTGGAGCTGGAACATTAGCCCCAGCCAGTCTCAACTGATGCTGAAGTGAAAAATCAATGTTATAGAATTCAATGCCAGAGCCTCGTTGCACTTCCGTCGGTTTCGGTGGCATCACCAGGTTCGGATTGTCCCTCAGGTCCAACTGTTCAAGATCAGTCAATAAGTGAATGGCATCAGGAACAGTTATCAGTCGATTTGACGAGAGAATCAACTTCTTCAGGGATCCACACCTGCAGAGACCCTCGGGTATCATCTCCAGGTGGTTCTTGGCAGCTGAGAATATTTCCAGTGACGATAATTTTCCTATTCCTGAGGGAATTCCCTCGAAGTCAAGCTGATTGTCGTTGACGTAGAGTCTCCTCAGGGTGAGGATTTTGCAGATGGAGGGGGGCAGGGAGGTCAGCCGGTTCCTGCAGAGGTTTAGGGTCTCCAGCTTCTGCCACAGCTCCAGGGCTGTTGATATCTCTGTGATATCGTTGTCGGAGAGGTTCAACCTTCTCAGATTGGGAAGGGAGTAGAGAGCATCGGGAACTCTTGGGAGTGAGTTTTCGGATAAATCAAGCTCCTGAAGATTCGTCAGACTCTCTAGGGACGAGGGGATGTTGTTGAGGGTGCGCTGGGTGTCCCTCATTGAGAGGGTTGTCAGGTTCATCAAGGAGGGAAGCTGACGCAGCTGAAAATGACCCAGAGGATTGTGATTCAGGTTCAGGGTCTGGAGATTTGCTAGTCTTCTCGTCTGGGGGGGAAGGGTCTCCAGTTGGTTGTTACTTATGTCCAGGAAGAGGAGGTCTGTCAGGTGGATGAAGAGGGTGTTGGGGATTGTCTCGATGTGATTGTGACTCAGGTTCAGGTTCAGGAGGGAACGGGCTCGCTCTAGGCCCTCTGGGATCTCTTTTAAATTGTTGTGGGAGAGGTCTAGGGTCGTCAACTCCTCCAGGTGGAACAGCTCCGCTGGGATGCCTGAGGTCTTCACGTTGTTGTGGCGGATGTTTAGGGTGCGCAGGCAGTTCAGCTCGGTTAACTCACCGTAGAGACGCTCCAGGTTGTTTTTCACCAGGGATAAGTGCTCCTGAAATTTTTTTCAAAGGCACGTGTGAAAAATTTCGGGTATTTTGCTCAAGCTTTGGGTTTTTTGGGGTTTATCGAGCCATTATGAGACCGAAAATGCGCTTAACAATTTTTTTTTCCAAATTTAGGTATTAAGTAAAATTAAAAATTCATTAAAATTTAATTCATAAATTAATTTTTAGAATTCTTGATTTTTTTGAAAAATCGGTTGCCCCATACGATAACTCAAAAAAATGTTCTGAATTCATTGAATGGTGGGTTAAAAAATTGCTTCTATGGCCCTTTGAGCGAGTTTGAGGATGAAGACGATAATAATAATCGTTGTTTTGATTGATTTATAGAATAATTCTAAAAAATTTCGTATTTTTTGAAAATGGGAATTCCGAAGATATCTTTGGATATCATGCTGCAAATTAATTTAATGCATGAAAAAAGTTTTTCTAATACCATTTTATCGAAGTTTCAAGGTAATGTAGATAGCATGATTCTTTCATTTGATTTGTGCAAGAATTTTCACAAGAGATGTAATACAATTGATTAAAGATGAAATATAGTTCAATTGAACTGAATAGTATAAAACGACAAATGATATACGATAAAAGAAAATGACATGCGAAACGACCATTCGGAAGCATATTGTTAATTTATTACGAAAAATCGCAATATTATTTGAAGACAAACGCAATTTCTCCCTTGGTTTTTCCTGCCTTTTCCTACTATTGACTCACCAATTTCAAAAGTTTTCCCATCTCCTCTGGTATCTCCGACAAATTCGTTCTATTTAACTTCAACCATTGTATTCCTGTCATCAACCGTACGGACGGTGGAAATTTATTCTCCTGAAACAAAAAAAAACCCTCTGTGAATCCCAATTTCTCCGGAATAAAAAAAAATTTTGACATTCGTCACATGAAATAATTTCTCCTCACTCCAAAATCATTGCAGCTGAAGTCCACCCCCCTGACAAAAGGTAAGACCCCAGTGTTCGCCATGTCAAACTCAAAATCTCCGAAAACTAGTCCTAAATCTCCAAAAACGTTTCAATAAAAGCCACGACTATTTAGAATTCTCAGACCCATCGAGAGCCTTGGAACTCCACACCTTCTCCACACTCCACAGGTTATGTTCCCCCAGGACTTCCCAATCGGTCGAGTAACCTTCATAAATTGATAAACAAACCGCAAGGAGCCCAAAAAAAATGAATATTCATAACCGCGAGTAAAATAACCAGCGCATAGAAATCTTTGATCCTATGATATCGATTATTCGGAATATCGATCTTTATTTCAATATTTATTGCTCGATATAATTTTATCGATTTTTTAAATTGCGGTTGAATTGATTTTGCGTCTTCAATCGATCGATATTAAACAAAATTTCATTTTTGAAATTTTTTTTCAAGAATCATTTTGTGCAATTTTTAAATGCAATTTTTTTTCAATTTCATAATAGTTATTTTCATCACAAGGTCCACAAAGTATTTTCTGACGAATGTGGCTTTATTGGCCGAGCCGAAGGCGATTCAAAATACTTTGTGGACCTTGTGATGAATGCAATTTTTCGTCAGAAGGCCCGTAAACCGCGATCTAACCGAGCGAAGCGAGGTTAAAATCGCGGTTTACCGGGCCTTGTGACGAAAATAATTTTTCATCACGCTGTGACGAAAAGTGAACTTTTCGGCACGCTCCGCGTGCCTAAAAGTCCAATTTCCGCCACATTGTGATGAAAAATATTGTTCGTAACTCGTGAAAAAATGTTTTTTCTCGCCTTCGGCTCGTGATATAAACCTCCCACTCGCCAAAAAACACTTTTTTGCACTCGTTACGAAATATACTATTTTTTTATACAGCGGAGGAATTGATATGACGTCTGCGATATATCGATATTTAATAAAATTTCATTTTTGAAACATTTTTTCTCGAATCATTTTGTGAACTATTGCTCGATATAATTTCATCCATTTTTTTGTACAGTGGAGGAATCGATATTACGCCTTCGATATATCGATATTTAATAAAATTTCATTTTTAATTTTTTTTTTCTCAAATAATTTTTGTGAAATTTTTAAATGCTTTTTTTTTCAATTTTACGAGTAAACCAAATTTTTATATCAATATTCTCAGTATCGATATTTTTAACGCGATATGTCAGACGATCGATCGCTCAGGCGACGATTTCTATCGATAAAATATATCGATATCCACTTCGATATCTCGAACATTCCCACCACAGCAACAGCCGTGCAATAATGGCCCACTGACCGTAATATGACGTCACCGCCTCTGAGGACCAATCCGAGTAGTCGAAAATCCACCAATAGCCGGTGAAAAATGTGCGTGAGTATGCAACTGCCGCCAACCCCACGAAACCAACAATTTCGGGGCTTTTGGGGTGATTCTCAACCAAAAGCACTCGAAAAAGCTCCCCCAGATGAACAATATCAAGCGACTGAAGTGTGTTTGTTACTCCCACGATAATATTTAACATTTTATCACTGAATTAAAATGTTAGAGCCGGTTTAACTCATCAACTTCGACTCAACGATTCTTCATAATTCGTGGACAATACTCGATATATCGCTTGTCAGGCGGTTGTTGCTGTTATTTGAACGTTGTTTGGACTGTTTTTATTTTTACTTCGGGGTTTTGAGCATTTTGAATCGGTTTGGGAGGGGAAATTAAGGGTTTTGGGGGCTGCTGAGGTTTTTGGGAGTTTCAGGCGATTTTTGGGATTCACTGGGCAGAATGTCTTGTAGTTATGCTGATGGATTGTCTCCGTATGAAAACAAAGGCGTCTTGGGGCTTGAGGAGGTGAGTTATTGTCATCAAGTCTTGATTTTTTTTTTTTAGAATTTTTTGGGTTTTAGGTTGGCTTTCAGAGGGTGGAGGGGTTTGAGAGGAAATTCCTGGAGGGAAATAGTGAAGAAAAAAAATTATCTCGAGGCAATTTCGATGTGTCAACGGAATTTGAGAATTTTTATCAAAAAGTCATCTTTCAATCATTTTTTTTAACTTCTACGTTATGTTGATTGTCTTCATTGATGCATATCTAGAGATCGGGAGAATGAAGTTTCATGATTTTTTTTTCATTTTTGAGATCTTTTGTTTTGTTTTGAGGTGAGAGTTGATTTGTTTGAATTGTATCGTTAGGTGAAGAGATATCGAAGATTGAAGAAAATTGATTTTGATTGATTATTTCAAATTAATTTCACTTCAACATCGGTTTTTGGGCAATATCTTCGAATCCAAAAGAGATAGAAAATTTTTTCAAACAACTTTTTTGTAGATTGCATTTCGCTCTACAAAAAATGTCATCATGACGATTTTGGTATCTCTACTGGTTTTTAAGATATTTATTAAACAATGATTTTGAAATCATTTCAAAGTCCAAGAAAGTGAAAAATGGATTTTTATTTCATATTTAATATCTCAGGACTCAACAGTCCGATTTGGCTGAATCACATCTCATTTCAAAGCTTAAGAAAATATCTTGAAAACGAGGGAAGACTTGTTTGATTTCACTCAGCCGATCTCGAGATATTGGAGATCGAAGTTCTTTTTTTAAAATTCTGATTGTTGGATTTTTTTCTTTAAGAAATACGAGAGCTCTGAGACCCTGAGGCTTAAATGCGGACTTCTGGCGGAGTGGATCCAGGGAGCACGTCATGTTGTGGTGCACACAGGTGCAGGGATCAGCACTGCTGCTGGAATTCCCGACTTCAGGTGTTCATTCACTCATTCTTCAATTTATCTTTCTGGAGTTTTCATTCCTTTCGTCTTCAAATTTTGTATCAATTTTTTCTTCACATTGCAGGGGACCCAATGGGGTCTGGACCCTGGAGCAGAAAGGCTTAAAGCCAGAGAGGGGTATTTCCTTCGATGATGCCATACCCACGAAGACCCACATGTCGCTGAAACGACTGCTCGAGAGTCGTAAGTCCATGAATTCACAAAGTGATAGGGGAGGGTAGGGCAATATGGACACCAAATTTAAATAATGAGTTGAATTGGATCAAATCTACTGTTCCGACTTGAGTTGAAATACATTCAATACATTTGTATCTGTAAAAATGTATTAAGAATCAACAGAAAAAGCTGCATCCCAAACCCATCTCTTGGATTCGTGCTGGAAATCCGTTGTTTTCCATACCCTAGCTGTTTGATCAGCTGATGTGGTCACTAGCAGTCTGAAAGAATAGCTTGAATGATTCAACTTCTAAATGATTGGGGGAGGGTGGGCAATATGGACACCAGATTTAAATAATGAGTTGAATTGGATCAAGTCTACTGTTCCGACTTCAGTTGAAGTTTATAAAAACGAACACATTGTCATAAGACTGCGTCGTAGGAATTGTAAGGTAAAGCAAAAACGGGGTAAAATGGACACTTGGATTTCTTCCTCAATTTTTTATGCTTCAACAATGTTATTCAATTTCTAAAACACTAGTCATGACTGCGATTTTCAAATTGAAATAAAAACTCATTTTTGACTTTTGCCGTGGGGGGTGGTAAACTAAATTTTTCTTTGCTCATTTATCCTACCCTCCCCCCATTGTTTTCTGGTGATTTCCGGTGTAAGTAGAAAAGTAGTCATCTTACAAATTTCGCAAGTGGACAAAAGGTCAGTTGTGTAGAGCGTGCAATTGTTCATTGAAAAAAATTAATAATTTCAAAGTTATTGCAATACTAAAACAGGAAATCCAAAGCTATTCTATATTTCAGCCTTCAATCCAAAATTTAATAGAGTTGAAGATTATTTGTTTATATCTCTTCCAACTCTAATTTCTCTCTAACAAAAGATACTGACACGATTCTGTTGGAAAATGTCTGTTGAAGATTTTCTTGATTAAAAGTTGAATAGAACCGACTTTTTCGGGTGTCCATTTTACCCCACCCTTGAATAATTTTTTGGTTGTGAATTTTGCCAACAAGCAATTCTTAAAAATTCGATTATTCAGTTTTTTGAAAAAATTTTGAGCGTTCATTTTTATCCATTCTATACGGATTTATCAGGTGTCCATATTGCACAATGAAACAATTTTCAAAAATTTGAATTTTGAAAAAAAAAATTTCTACGCAGATTTTTTGACGGTCCATTTTGCTTCTGACGTCCATATTGCCCCACCCTCCCCTGTTTTACATGTGTCAAGGTATATCAAGAGTGACAATTAATTTTTTTTACAGAAAAAATTAAATTCATCGTCAGTCAAAATATCGACGGTCTTCATCTTCGCTCTGGAGTGTCTCGGCAGTACCTCGCTGAGCTGCATGGCAACATGTTTACTGAGCAGTGTGATAAATGTGGAAGGTAGGATGATCATTTCGCCTTTGAGTTTTTCCATTTATTAGACTGCATTCCAGAATAAAAGCCACTACCCACTTTCTGATTTGCTAACACCTTTCTTGAAAATCTCAAGACCATCAGAATTGAGACGTACAGCTCTGACTCCTGGGGAGGCTCAGATCACCTCCGACAATCACTCTCAATACGCTGTACCTCCTCACCCATCACTGAATCTTTTTTTCTCATGCTGTACCATTCTCACATCATTCCTCGTCTTGTGAAGTTCATCTTTATTCTTTCTACCTACATTATGAAAGCTTATAACTTCCTATTTATGGTCTTCCTGTGAATAATCATTTCTGCACTGTCTACTGAACGTTAATGCTTGACTGGAGGCCCGCGGGCCATGTCCTTTCATGAAGTTGCAACGAATTTCGTTGGAAATAAAAATAATACTCTCTTTTCTCTCAAATTCTCACACCATACGGCTCTGTTCATCATCAAGGTCTTCAGGTTCTTGCACTCCTCGACGTATTCACGATGATTTGAACGCATGTATGATGTAATAATAACGAAATTCTCCTGAGGAATTGAGAAGAACAGAAGAAATTTCGAAGGATTTTACGATTCATGAAGGAAAATGGATTGATCTATCTGAGATAATTGTTTGAGATTGTTAATTAATTTCATGTTGATGAGAATTATCATCAATTATCAAGATGATTGCTCACCCATTGATGACTTCAGTCTCACGCACTTGGCGACTTTAATCCCCTTCGTGATACTATAAAAATCTTTTTGATTATAAATTTCAAATAATCGATTCTCCCTTGTAAATATCGTCACCTAAAATTAATTACTCCTCATCTTGTGAAATTCGTCTTTATTCTTTCTAGCTACATTATGAAAACTTATAACTTCATATTTATGGTCTTCCTGTGAATAATCATTTCTGCACTGTGTACTGAACGTTAATGCTTGACTGGAGGCCCTCGGGCCATGTCCTTTCATGAACTTGCAATGAATTTCGTTGGAAATAAAAATAATACTCTCTTTTCTCTCGAATTCTCACACCATACGGCTCTGTTCATCATCAAGATCTTCAGGTTCTTGCACTCCTCGACGTATTCACGATGATTTGAACGCATGTGTGATGTAATAATGACGAAATTCTCCTGAGGAACTCGAGGAAAACAGAAGAAATTTCGAAGGATTTTACGATTCATGAAGGAAAATGGATTGATCTATCTGAGATAATTGTTTGAGATTGTTAATTAATTTCATGTTGATGAGAATTATCATCAATTATCAAGATGATTGCTCACCCATTGATGACTTCAGTCTCACGCACTTGGCGACTTTAATCCCCTTCGTGATACTATAAAAATCTTTTTGATTATACATTTCAAATGATCGATTCTCCCTTGTAAAAATCTTCACCTAAAATTAATTACTCCTCATCTTGTGAAATTCGTCTCTATTCTTCCTACCCCCATCCAGGGTTGATACTTAACAATGAAAAAAAAAATTCTTCCCACCTACCTTATAAAATTCCAAATAATCCTTAATCCATCGTAAACAACTCCCCAATTTCGTCCCTCTAAATCTTTCTCAATATCCCCAGACAATTCATCCGTCACTTCGCCACCACAAGCGTGGGAAAAAAATGCCTGGACACAGTCTGCAGGTCCGAGCAACTGGGCGGCCGTCCCTGCCGAGGTCGTATGCACGACACAATCCTCGACTGGGAGCACAACCTCCCCGACAACGACTTAGCCCTCTCCGACCTCCACTCGAGTGTCGCCGACCTCAGCATATGCCTCGGGACAACCCTCCAGATAATTCCCAGTGGCAATCTCCCCCTGTACACGAAAAAATACGGTGGCCGCCTGGTGATATGCAACCTCCAGCCCACGAAGCACGACAAGAAAGCCGATCTCGTGATAAACGGCAATGTTGAGGAGATAATAACGCACGTGATGAAGAAACTGGGCCTGGAGATACCCGAATACACGACGGACATCGATCCTACGAGAAACTCAGACCTGTCCTCCTCAGAGCTCGACTGGACAATTCCCTCGAGTCGGATCAAGGAGATGAAGGTGCTCTACAAGAAGGTCTGCAAGCCGACGAAACGCAACAGAAAGACGTTCATGTACGAGAGGGAGAGAGAGTGCGAGAAGCCACCGAAGGCCAGAAAAAGGTCACTAGGTGTTAAGAAGGAGGAGATCAGGGCGACTGGGGACGACGAGACCCCTTCCTTCAACGTTGACATCAAAGAGGAGAAGGAGAGTCCAGACATCAAAGAGGAAGTTGTTGACAATGACGAGAGGAGCAGCATCTAACGTCCATCTGCTGATCGTTTTCGCTTGGTTCTCCCGCACTGTCGAGTAATCTTCAAGTGCTCCAATAATAATTACTGCGTTGTATCGTTAGGGACGAGTAGATTTTGTCGTTTCAACAAACGAAATTGGGAATGATTTGCTCACACTTTGGTTTTTATGGAGAATGAAGGCATACTTTGACACTGAGACTTCATTTTTGAAGAATGTTCGATGAAATAAAACTGCACAAAAGAAGGATTACTTGAGTAAAAGTAAATTTCTAAGGTAACTGATTAGGAACTATTGAAAAAGGAAGAAAAGTTTTTACTTATTTTTGTATCTGACGTATTATTAATACTATTATGGATATGTGATTCGTTTGATCTCCAGTCTGAGCTGCTTACAATTGTCATGTGGAAATTAATGTAATGATCGTGTAATACCGAAATATGAGTGATTTAGTTTGAGGTGAAAAGAGGGGAATTTCATTGCAGTAGATGTACCTTTCATTTTGCCATTCCAGATGAGATTGAGTAATTTTTTAATGGCCTCTGTTCAGAGTATGTACATGATTGAATTGAAATGCATACATTTAAAAAATTCATCACTAATTACAGGACAATTTGCTAGAGATCGTAGCCATAGAGAGAGCCCTCGTAGAGGGCTTTCTCCATGTCGTCGGTTGCTTTTCGTATTCTCCTGCCTATAGGCTCCATGTCGTTGTAGCATTTGTCGAATACTCTGTCGACTGCCGCTTTCGCTTCGTCTTGGGTGACTCCTCTAGTTGCTAGGACTGAGAGCATCGCTCGTCTCTTGACGCATTCCTGGGACAAATAAACGTGACGAATGCGTGAATTTTTTTATTTGGAAGAATAATGAAGAATCAAGTTGTCATTTTGTTTCCAAAGAAATGTCTCAGTGAGAAGTCATCGAGACGTACAGCGTGCAAACGCAAGGGATTTTTGGGACGAATGAAATGGTTTTTTACTCGTGTCTCTGAGACTTACAAAGGCGTGAAGGCGGTAATGTCGGTCCAGAGTCGGGCCAATATCGGCTCAGGGTCGGGTCATCTATGGGGACGTCATATATGAGGACGGCCTCATATACAGGGACTCCCAAATGATGAAAAATTTAGAACTCTTCCCGGAAAATTCGACATTTTTAGGGTCTGATGATGACCGATAATGATGAAAATCAATTTAAGACCCGGGTGTACTATTTTTCAAACGTTATCTCAATGTTTTTTTTTTCTTTCGTCATCTGAAATTGTCAATTCAGTCCTGCATCATGCAGAAGTTTTGAAAAATTATGAATAAATAATCGAAAGAATTTGAAAAAATTGTCAATTTTTTCAAAGAGCATTTTTAATTTATATTCAGAATAAGTTGAATAACAAGAAATTGAAAAATGTATCTGATTTACGGTGTCAAATGGCGGCATGTCACCCAATATCATGCAGGGGGAAGACTGGTTTCGTAAATCTTTTCCCACACTGCACAGAGACATTTATTACGGAAAAGGCTCTTTGAAAAAAGTTGTAATATTTTGGAGAATTTTTTAATCACACTTTTATCACCTAAAAATGGCAGATGGCTACATCCCACTGTTTTGAAAATTGAGATACCTAGCTGTCACTTCCCATGTGGAGTTAGTCTTTTGTTATCTACCATGGAAAATGACAGCTAATAGATAATTTGCCACAGCGAATCATATATTTGTAATTTCCACTTTTTTCAACTCATTCTGAATCTCAATTAAAAACGCTCTTTGAAAAAGTTCAGATTTTTTCTATTTTTTTTTATCATTCTATCATAATTTTTGGGAATTTCTACATGATGTACCACTCAATTGACAATTTTGGATAATGAAAGAAAAAAAATCCAGATAGCATTCGAAAGATAGTAGAATTTCAGAGAATTAATTGACGACTTCTCAAATATCTTGCTACAATCATTATGAATCACTACTGTTCCCGAAAAAAATGAATATTAATAAATGTGTCATCTCCATTTCCATATTCATTTATGTTCAAATGTGAATAATGAAGCTGTTGAAGAAATTTCCATGGTCATCCGCTCGATCACACGCGAGGGGGGAGGGGGCGAAGCCCCCCGGGTCGACGAGCGATGCGAGCAGGGGCGAAGCCCCCTAGTAGGAAAGTAAAAATTTCACTGGAATTTGAATTCTTCGTAGGTCCGTCTGCATTACAATCGGATATTGAGAACTCACTTGATGTTTTTTCCTCAAATTGAACCAGGAGGCATCCCCATCAACAAATGCACTCATGAAACTGCAGTACGTTAGATTGGCAGCACGGACTTCTGTGCAGGCCAGGTGATCCAGGTTCTTGAAGTCCAAGTTATTTCGACAGTAGTCGAACATGTGAATCAGTTCGTGGGACAATACACTCCCGATGATACCCTCGATTCTCGCGGTATTCTGGCAGACGACGATCTGATTCAGCTCGGGGTCGTAGCCACCTGTCACTGATTTGTCACAGACTTCACAGGTGATGTGTCTCCTGATGTCTACCGGGCTGAGCAAATTTTTATTCAGAACAATTAATTCACATTTGAGGCCTGGGTGGATCATCTTTCGATCGTTATCTCGATTGTTTTTCCATCTTCATAGTGTCAAATATATCACAATTTCCAGTGGATTTTAAATCACGCAGGCGTCCCGAAAAATTATGATTGTACAATCAGAAAAAGTAGAAAGAAAAATAAACATTTTTAAAGAGCGTTTTTAATAAAGATAGCCAAATGAGTCCGATAGAGAGGAAATAGTGAATGGATAATTTATCATGAGAATTTTCCTCATCTAAATGTCAGCCAATAGAATTGCACTATTCGATTTTTATTTCATATAGTCAACACGGTATTCAGCTGATTATTTTTCCAACCCAAATATCGGGCAATATAATTGGCCCATTCGACATCGCGTGGTACAAGCTACAGGGTTTTCAACTGATTATTTTTCCAACCCAAATATCAGGCAATATAATTGGCCCATTCGACATCACGTGGTACAAGTTACAGGGTTTTCAACTGATAATTTTTTGATAATTTTCTCTGGTAGTTGCTATATAAAAAACAAAACATCATGCAGTCGAATTAACCCCTCGTCAAACTGACAGATTGAATTCAATTGTGGTAATCCGAGGATTGTGAGTTTCGTCTCATGGTCCAATTATATTGCCCGACATTTGGATTGGAAAAATAATCCCCCGAATGCCACACGAGCTGCAAAATTAATCGGGCATTTTCCTCAAGGTTCCCCGCATACAAACGAAGTCATCAAGTTTTTCAGGAACAATCACTCGTGCTTCGCACTCGTGAATTTTTAACCTGAAAAACTTGACTCCTTCGTTTGTTTGCAACGAACCTACCGGAAAATACCCGATAATTTTGAAGCTCTTGTGGTATTACAAGTGATAATTTCTGATAATTCAACTGGTAATTTTTCATGTTGACTATATTTGTGGAAAACAAAAGGTTCCGTGGTCGAGTGAACCTCTGGTTGGAACTGTCAGATGGATTTTGTCTCATAGTGCAATTCTTTTGGCCGACATTTGCATGGGAAAATTCCCTCCTGAATACTACTCGAGCTTCAAAATTAATCGAGTCAAGGTTCCCTGCACTCAAACGAAGTCGTCAAGTTTTTCAGGAAAAATCACAACGAACCTATTGGGAATTGCTCGATAAGTTTGAAGCTCTCGTGGTATTACTTGCGGTAACTAACGATCTGACAGCCATTGACTGCTGCGATAAATGACGACCTAACAGCCATTAGATGCATCAAATTATTAATTTGCAATTTTCTCCCTATTGGCTTTATTTCCAAATATTATTCAAAAACGCTCTTTGAAAATGTTCAGATTTTTTTCCACGTTTTCTCGATTGTACAATCATAATTTTTGGAGACTCTAGGGCTATGTAAAACTGAATAACAATTGGAGATCATTTCAGATTATCAAAGTAAAAAAAACAACCAACATCACGTTCGAAAGATAATCCACTCGGGCCTTAATGTCATTGGAGAAATGGAAGGGCTTCAATTTTTCCTGAATATTTTGGAATTGGAAGGAGATGAGGAAATTTTTATAAAGATCTTGTGACGATTGTGTCATCAACTAATTTATTCTTAATGATTTTGAAATATTAAATTGTCTCGACAGAACTTCTCGTTTTTATTTCAATCAAAATCATGTGCTAAGATCGAATGAATTATCAAAATTTTCCTGCTTCGAATCCTTTAAAGACCAAAATTAACAAATTTCGTGTAATCCCTCCCACTCCACAAAAAATATCTTTAAAAATATTTCCTCACCCCTCTTAGACCTAGAAATGTGCAGCAGGAACTAATTTTCGTCTGCAATTGCCTCCCACTCATCCACAAGACAATTAAAATAATTAATCAATTAATTTCCTCACCATCCTGAACTCTTCAGAGCTGCCATCATCAGCTTCACTATAGGGTCTGTCCCAAAAACCAAAAATTATCTCATCTATCATTCAGAAGAACAAAAAAAATTCTCTCTTACGTTTCTTCACGCAGTTGTAGACCTTCCTCTCGCAATGATACTTCTGTATATTCTCATCCCCTTCCTTCATCAGCAGAGTGTGAATGATGGACTTCTTCTTGGAGCCCCGTCTCTCCGGATACAGGTCGTGTCCATACAGCTCACCCTTTTCGTCAGGATATGTCTTCGTCGGAGGAGGGGTATATTCAAAGTTTCCATCACTCGGTTTTTCATTATTCTCACTAGAATTTGACATTCCAACTCTAATTGAGATTTATTTGTAATTTTTTTTCTGTCACCGGCACTTGATTGTGGTCTTCATGTACTGCGTTGACTTTCAAGGAGTTTTTTGATTACATCAGATGATTCTGGATGTTCTGGAGCACCTGGAGGTGTGTTTGAGGTTGGGGTTGGGGTGGACCCATGTGAGCGGCTCCATCGATAATAGAGGAATTTTTATTCCCGCGGCGGGTTAAGCAGATTATCGGTCGGTTCTAATTTTAGGGGCTTCCCCGGATTATTTAGAAGTGGAATTCTGGGCTAATTTGGAGGAATCGACCTGATAGACCTTTTCAGATTTTCGGAAACTTCTTTCCCAAAATAATTCTTCTAGGAGTTTCGGACACTTTTACCACATTACCGCATTTACCGTATTTCCATTGACACCTTGAGGGGTAATAGAAGGGGACTGTTTCCTCGAAATTTCCTGCTCAAAATTGGGACCGCTAATTACCGATGGCGGCGCTCGTTTTCACCAATATGGACGATTTTAGGCTTCCCATATACACGCTAACACAAGCCCAAATTGGGTTGCATACTGTCTGTGTGCAGCCCAATATCCGCCATTCATAGGTGGCGTTTTGATATTTAGCGTTTCCAATTATTCATATTTCTCGACGCCAAATCACATCGATCTTCATCATCACCTCCTGGAGATTAATGTGCTTTGATTTGTAAAAAGATTGATAACTTTTGGCAGGAAATTTGTTCAAAAATTTGGAAAATTAGCGGCATTCTGTTACCCCTTAAGGGGAGACTACTACGTGTGTTAAAAGTCGCGGGCTATTGGAGTGAGATTTTTCATGTATTGAAAATCGGTTATGTATGTTTAAAAACGGATAATTAATGCAAAAAAAAAATGGTCTATTGTTTGTTTGCCCCGCAGGCGCTTAAAATGTTAAAAATAGTCTAGGGTCTGCAATTTTTGAGCTACAGACGTTTTTTTCTTTTCAAAATTTTTGAAAAAATGTGAACAATAACAATTATGAATTATTTTTTGAAATTCGACTCCTACACAGCTAATTTCGTTCTTTTTAATATAAAAATTGGCGCCATTTATGTAGAATAGGCAGAAAAATTATTCGTGAAATATTTCAAATATATTCTCGATTTTTTCAGAAACATTTTTTGGCCTATTTTACATGAATTGTTGCAATTTTTTATTAAAAAAATAAAGAAATTAGCTTTGTAGGAGTTGAATTTCAAAAAACTGATTCGTAATTGTTATTGCGCACATTTTCTTCAAAAATAAAAAAAACACCTCTGTAGCTCAAAAATTAGAGGCGTTGGACTATTTTTTAACATTTTAAACGTCTGCAGGATAAACGAATAATTGAAATTTTTTTTTGCATTAATTATTCGTTTACGAATGCAAAAAAAAATTTGCATTCGTTTATTAATGCAAATAAAGTTTTTTAATTATTGGTTTTTAGATATATATAATCGATCTTTAATGTATGAGAAATGAGAGTCTATTCGCTTTTCGTGGACTTTCGAAGAGCTTTCGACTCTGTTCCCCATCACTTGTTGTGGCCCAAGTTACAGAGGATTGGAGTCAGCTCACGCATGGTGGCCGTCATTAAGGACTTGTATGATCACGCTTCCATACAGATAAAAACCAGCGAAGGTTCTTCGGACCGCTTTGACATGAGTGAAGGTGTCCTACAGGGGGAGAAGTTGAGCCCTCTTCTGTTCAACCTCTACCTCTCTGACATAGAATCCTTTTTTCGAAGTAATGGGGCTAGAGGAGTCGATATTGGCGGTATGAGAGACGTGATCCTTCTTTTATACGCTGACGACCTCAATTCTGGCGTTCAGCTCGATCGACTTAAAACGTAAATTGAGGATTCTAGAGGATTACTGTAAAATTAATGGTCTAACGGTCAATATAAGCAAAACCAAGGTCATGATCTTCAGGAAAGGAGGTCGGTTACCGTCCAAAAACCACGAGTTTACTCTTAATGGCGCACCAGTCAAAATCGTCTCCGAGTACACATATCTGGGGGTCAAGTTTACTCCTTCAGCGACGGGTAGGGCTGCTACCGATGCAGCAGTATCGAGATCCCGTGCTGCCGCAGCTTCAGTTTTAAGGATTCTCGCTAATATTGGTGCTGATTCATGGGAAGGTATGAGGAAATTGAATTCCAGCATAGTGGTCTCAACCTTGCTGTACACATCTTCATTGTGGGCCCTCAGAGACTTGGCTACTCTTGATTCAGGACACCTTTTCTTTCTCAAGCGTCTCTTCAATCTGCGGAGAAATACGCCGGGTTTCGCCTGGAGACTGGCATCTTGAGAATCTCTTATGAGGTTATAAAGCAGGCGCTCAACTGGATTGTTAAGATCCTGAAGATGTCAGACGAGCGTCTCCCCAGAATTTGCCTTATGAGACTAATCAACTTGGCTGCACAGCCGGAAGTAGACTCCCCGACCAAAGCCAGATACAACTGGGTCATGCAGCTTAAACATAGCTTGAACGGTATTGATTGCTCTGATCTTTGGACTAATCTGAACCCAAATTGGTGGGAAACGAGGATTCCTGATATTCTTCCTCAACTCGCGGAGAAAGAGAGGTTTGAGGACTACCTCCGTTACCTCTCCTCCCCTTCAATACTGCTCAAGACTTTCAGACATCCCTTGGATGATTTCGGAGTCTTCTACCCGGAAAGATGCCCTCTCGAGTTCATGAGAGCTAAAATCCAGCTGAGACTATCCACAGTCCATACCAGGCGCCTATACATCAATAAGATAGACTACAGAATCAACGCTAGTGAGATTTGCACCCTTTGTAACTCGCTCTGCCCTGAAGACCTGGTGCACTTACTGTTCATCTGTCCATTCTATGCTCCGCTGAGGGAGCATTACCTTCCTAACTACTTGCGAACTCCAGATATTATAACTGACTCCAGTATTTCAGCCTTTTTGAACTCGAATAATTTTAGAGATATTAAAGTTTTGTATTGTTTTTTGCAGAAACTTTTGCAACTTCGTTCGCAAGAATTGAATGATTAAGGGGTCTAGCTGTCTAACATAGGAGGACTCGTCTCACCGCTGCCAAAACTGTCTCGATTATTTTCATAGCTTTATTTCGGAAGATTTGGATTTCCTTTTCCTATTGAATTTTTTGAATTATGTTCTGAAGCTTGCGCCACTTTACTTAGCGCTAATCAACTTTGTTCATAGAGTGGATTTTTTATTTTTTTTATTTTATTATGTACTCTTCTTGTAGCAGGATTCCCCCTGCACCAATAATACCATGTATTAATTGCAGAAATATATATTATTATTAATGTATGAGAAATCTCATACCAATAGCCCGCAACTTTTAAAACCCATAGTAGTTTCCCCTTAATAACAGACAAGCGTATCTGCATATGGAATTTGTAGAACTTAAGACTGTTATTAAGGCGGCGATATCATCATTACGGTATGAAAATATTTTACCCGATTGTCAACGTTCTCCAAATATTCCCAATATTTAAGTGGTCACTGAATTTCGAAATCGCTGGCGCATTCGTCTACCTTTCTGATGAGTTTGATTATTAATATTATCAACCACTAGCGAACGGGCGCTTCGCTCCCGTATAATATAATATAGATTATATTATAATGTATAGTATAATATAATATAGATTATATTATATTATACTAATTTATTTGATTGTTTTCTTTCCAATTTTTCTTTGCGGTTAGATTAAATTGAATTTATTGGATTCTATTCGCATTGTAGTATACAAATTGTGGGAACAGTTTTTCTCATTTTCAAATGAAGAGATATTTATGAGTGTTTCCCTCATCGGAATCTCGGCCAATAGGAGGGCCACATTTGATGTCACGTGGTACAACCTACACGGTTTTATATCGGTAAAATTTGGTAAAACCACGGCACGTTGCTAAGGGAGAATAAACAAAATAATTGAAATGCGAAAGTGTAGGTTGTACCACATTGACATCAAATGCTGCCCTCCAGTGACCGAAATTCCGATGAAGAAAATACTCCTCCAAATACCCCTCGAGCTTCAAAATGCATCGGGTATTTCCCTCAACCTTCCCTGCAAACAAACAATCGTGTCAAGTTTTGTAGGAAAACCTACCAAACTTGACACTCTCGTTTGTTGGCAACGAAGCTATCGGGAAATACCCGATCATTTTGAAGCTCTCGGGGTATGACTACTGATGAATAATAAGGAGAGTATTGATACTTTTTGTTGGGATGATGATCGATTCGCAAGAGAATCAAAATTTCGATTTTTCAATGTCTCCGGAAAGTTTTAAAATTGATATATTTTTTCAAATAATGAAAGAATACCCATCAATTCAATTTCTATCCTCACATTTTGATAGAACACATAACAAAATAGTCATTATTATTATTCTGAGGATTACCTTATTATTGTCTGGAAATCGTGGCAAAAGGAATTCTCAAATCAAAAGAATCAATTCCAAAAACTCCCGATAAAGTCAAGAATGAATTCTGTATATTTTTCAAATAAAAGAATAAAAGTATCGCACATCTATGTAGACACATAAATTTTAGTAGTTTCGAACGAGTACAGAAAATACAAACGATCATTTCTATTTTCTATCTTATCACAAATAAATAAAACTAATGAGTACACTTCAACTTTGGATCATTGGGTTTTCTAAATAGAGATTCATGGTCAGTCTGTTCGTTCACGATTTAAACCGCCTGTTCCTGTCGCATATGATTTCTATATAATGATTTGTAAGTTGTTACAAATTTTGATTAAATATATACGCTGATGCAATGGTGAGTAGATACGTGAGAAGCTCGTGCAACAATTATGAATGAATTATCGATGGGCAGATGGAAGATTTTTCAGTATTACGCTTTCTTCTGGTGCATCAAGTACTTGTAGATGTACGTCAGGGCCGATTGCACTCGACCCTTGTGTTTTAAACCTGGCAGCAGCAGAGAAATACTCACTGAGGAAAATCAACACGGTTTCATTAATATTCATGAATAATTAACGATTATGCATTAATTTCTGTTCTTTTTAAAAAACTTTTGTTACTAAATTAGAATTGTTATGAAGTATAAAGTTTGTTGACGATATAATTGTCGCAAGATTCTACGAGAAAATGTTAAGAGGCTATTTTTACAGTTGAGATAATTCTCTATAAAAATTTTCTCTGACATTTTCCGCCAGAGTCAGTAATCATCGAGATCAATTAATTCGAAACCTTCGCAGAAAATGTCTTGAATGCCAGAATAATTAGACAATTCCTGTGACGTTTTAAAAATTAATTATTGGAGAAGAAATTTCATAAAATATCAATTTTGTTGAATGTCAAATTGTCTTCGTAACGAGTTATTTTTAGAAGAGAATGACAAGAGATGTTTATTGAAGTTGAGGAAATTTTTCTACAAAAAAATTCTTTGGAATTTTTCCTTGAATTTTCTCATTATTAATGTGATTTGATGCTCAACAAAAAAATGTTAAGAAGCTATGTTTATAGTTGAAAAAATTCTCTACAAATTTTTTTTTAACATTTTCTCCTACAGTCAGTAATCACCAATATAAGTGTTCAAAATCTCCCCATAAAATGTCTTGGGACATTCTTCTAAATTAATCATCAGAATAATTAAACAATTTCTGCAACTTTTTAAAAATTAATTATTGTAGAAGAAATTTGATAAAATAACAATTTTGTTGCCTGTTAAATTGTCTTTAGAAGAAAATGTCAATTCTCTACGGAAAAAATTCATAACATTTTTTCCCACAATCCCTCGAGATGAATTGATATTTGTAAAAATGTGAAAAAATTATTAGTTCAATGAATAATTAATTGAATTCAGTAGCGAAACGGTAAAGGGTGATAAGTCGATAAATCTTGATTTTACAGGAAAGTCAAAAAACTATATTTGCAGGTTCCGATCTGATATGTTCCACATAAACTATAGTTAATTTTTTTTTACTCATATCGTTTATAGGAGAAATGTAACGCAATATATAGAATCGTTTCCCATCAATAAATAATTATTTTAAATATTTTAAGGATAATTTTTCTGCCTATTTTACATAAGTGGCTATAATCGATCTTCAATGCCTGAGAAATCTCACTCCAATAGCCCGCAACTTTCGAAACTTATAGTAGTCTCCCCTCAAATAATTTGATGAAGATTTCTTGCATCCACGGACGAAAAAATTTAATAGAAAAACCTATCGAATTCGTTAGAAAATTTTATTGAATTTCTATTGAACTGTTCTATTAGTTTTTGGCCGATTCTATTGAAATGTTCAATAGAAAATATTCAGTAGAAAAAGTCAATAGAGTTCAATTTTTCTATACAACTAATTCTATTGAGATATTTTCTATAGAATTTCCTCGGCTCAAATTTTCAAAGTTTTTTCGTTTGATTTTCTTGATGAGAAGAAAAGAAAAATAGAATGAAAAAAACTTAGAAAATTTGAGTTGAGCAAATTCTATAGAAAATATCTGAAAGAAATAAGTGATATAGAAAAATCGAATTCTGTTAACTTTTTCTATTGAATTTTGTCTATTGAACATGTCAATAGAATCAGCCAAAAACTAATAAAAAGTTCAATCGAATTTTCTAACGACTTCAATAGGTTTTTCTATTAAATTTTTTCGCGCGTGCCTCACTGTTTTCATTCGTTTTCCATTCGGCTATTGAGTGATAATGGTACTGGAGGGCTGAATAATGGGAAAACCTCGGCGTGAAAATTGCTGGCAAGATTCTTAAAAATGTTTTGATAAAAGATGCAAAGGGGTTTAAAATACTTGATAATAAGAAATAGTATATTTCAGCACGTGTGGGGCAATTTCGTCTTTAACGTGTGTGGGGTTTACAGCATGAGCCGAAGGCGAGTGATGTAACCACATACGTTAAGGACGAAATTTCCCAACAAGTACTGAACAAAATTTTATGTCACGAAGCCTGAAACTGGCTGAATTAGACACGAGACGCGAAGCGTCGAGTGTGTAATCCAGCCGGTTTCAGGCATGAGTGGCATAAATTTCATTTATTTGTTCCTTGTTTTAGTTTTTCGAAGGCAATATGAAGAAATATAGGAACATATTCTTTTTTCGTTTCTTTTAGAATTTGGGATATTGATTTGAGTAAATTAAGGTTTCATAGAGGGTTTCCTTCTCCCTTTTACTGAAAGTCACGTGGGCCAATGGCAGGATGGAAGAAAAACATTTGGATCTTATGCGACGTTTGATCTAAACATGAACTCATTTCCGGACATGAAAATAGGTTGAGATTTAATGTTGTGCTTGCACCTAAATGAAGTTCAAAATGTGTATTCATGAAAAATGAAACATACGCCACCGCAAAAAACCGATAATTAGATAACATAGCAACTCCTATTCATTCGGGATACTGATAGGTAAATATCAACTTTTTATATTGATCTTGAAGTAATTCGACGTATATGGTGTGGGAACCTGGTTGCTATAAATGAATTTAACCTCCTTTGAGCTATTACACTTAATAATATGTATATATGCTCATGTAGATGTACGGGACACTTCCCATTCTGCGCTTTCCCTTCTGAAAGCAGTTATGAAATTTCATTTACGAGGTGTTCATATGGATTCAACGTGTAGTGAAGCACTTATTCTTAAAGTATCAAGCTTCACCAGCACTTAGCATTACCCAGGGTTCGCGATGGGGGCGCAGCTGGTATGAACCCCACAAAGGTCAAAATTTGACCCAGTCACCCCCTTCAAGTTATTTACATAATTGAGTGCGACTCAATTTTCTTGTTGATTTCAATTTCTATTGATATTAAATGACGAAATAATTCAGCTTCCTCGAAAAATTTGTTGGAGCAGTTATAGGACACTTTTGACTTTTTCAAAAATATTAGTGACGGGTTGAAATGTTGATGAAATTTAATTTTTTTTTGTTCAATACAAAGAACAATTCTTTTCCTTTCTAATGAGCCTAAACTGAGCTCTATTGATACATTTGTTTCTGAGTTATGAATAATTTTAAAAAAGTCTAAAGTGTCCATTTTACCCTCCCCTCCCCTATACTCTAATTACCAAAAAACCGACTTATCATCCTTTACCGCTTCGTTACTGAATGGATTTTACTCACCGATTAAGTACATCAGTAATAGATTGTTGACGATATTCCCCAGCCAGGCAAGCAGACTCAGACCCAAAGTGATGGACCCATAGTACTAATCAATTAAAAAAATATAAAATAAGTGAATAAGTTAAATAATAACTCATTATGAAATACCTACAATTGTGGGTCGATTATTGCGGGCATTAAGTAGATACTTCCAGGCATTCTGAGTCTGAATAATCATCTCACTAAGATTCAGACATATTTCCTCGAGTTTCTTCTCCTTCTGGCCTGTCCAGGCAGTCGAAGAGATGAAAGTCGATGACAGAACTGGGACTAAATAGTCAATTAGTGCTGCCAGCAGCAGGGAGATGGAGATTATCGTCACAAACGCTGGCTCCAGCACCCAAATAAATCTTTAACATGCATCATTCGCTGAGTCCCCGAGGAATATCTCAGAATCCAAGAGAGATAGCGAAATTTTCGTTATCACCTTTTTTGTAGATCTCAATTTGCTCTACGAAAAACGTCATGACAAAAATTTGGCTATCTGCCTCAGATTCCGAGATATTCGTTGAGAACTGACCAATTGTCAAAGTTGACTTGAAAACTTTTAGCAGAAAAAAATTATTGTCTTCAATCGTCAATATCTTTTGACTGGGTTATGCGATTTGGATGACTCAGGTCTCATTTTTAAGGTTGAAAAAATGTCTTGAAAGTGAAGGAAAAGAGGGGAATTCCACTCTGCCATTCTCGGGATATTGAGGATTGAAGACTGTTCGTTTTACTTCATGCTGAAGAATTAATTCCTTTGAGGAATGATTTTCACTCACAGGAATAACGTAGTGGTAACTCCGAGGATTAACCCAGGATACCACGACTTCTCCCAGAGGATGACTGAATTTATCGGCAAGACAGCTTCCCTCCAAGGCTCCATACGCCTCTTCAACTGCTTCATGCATTTTTCCTGGAACGGAGAAGCCTCTATTGAATCTTCAGAAAGTCCAGTTCATTTGTAATGTTGAAATGTTGAATGTTGAAAATCTATTTTAGGGTCCCCTGTTGCCCGCAAACGCCCAACCACCCAAAAAATCCACCCGATCTCAACCCCCAAACCCTAAAGACACAATTATCTCACCTTTTCTGAATCCGGCATCCTCCCCCGCACCAAATCCTCCTCGCAAAAACCTGAAAAGTCCCTCACAGCCACCCAAACCCTCTTGTCAAACCTGTCTCACCCCTTCGCCGATATAATCCCTCGACCCCTGTGACCCTATCTCCCTAGAACACCCTCTCACTCTCCATAATCGCGAAAATAATTATTTTCTTTTTAAAAAACCCTTTACGATAAATAAAAAACACATGCGTAGTTCAGTTCACATCACAATGAAAATGCACGTCGATAACTTCACGACACTCTCTCACATAGGGGAAGGGGCCCGACTGGTTGGAGACTACCCCCNCCCCCCCCCCCCCCTCGGCCGCTGTAAATGAATGAGAGGAATCCGTGGATTGGCCATCGATTCAAATATATAGAAATGTTTGATAATCGAAAAAGTATCGATATCTCGAATGGATAAACCTCGTTCCATGTCGGGATTGAAAAATATCGATATAAAAATAGGGGTTTTAGGGGCAGATGGGGCAAATTGGGATATCCATTATAAAGTTTAAAAACTCAAAAAATTCCCTAGAAAAAATCGTTTGCATTAAAAAAATTTACGAATGAAAAAATTTAAAAAAACAGGAAAATTGAATTTCAAAATGAACATCAAATTTCACAAAATATAATTAATTCAGCAGTGAGCGGGGCAAAATGGGACGTTCATCGTCAACTTGAAAATTCAACTTGAAAAAAAATGTTTTGCATTAAAAAATGTTCCAAAAAAAATTGAAAAAAAAAATTTAATTCGATAAACTATTGAGGGAATTGAATATCGATTCCCCCAATACATCGACTCTGGAAAGACCGACCAACTCTTGATTATCGTCTCGAAACATCGATATTCCGAATAATCGATTCCATATCGAACATTCGTGGTTCAAAATGTTGGTTATTGCGGGCGATGCCGTTTCACTGTTGTGACGTTAAAGATTTTTATCGCATCTACATTGCTATTATAAATATCCTGTTAACAAATTATTGGACATAACAATTATCCTGGAGGTGGTAGAAGATCGTCGACAATGAGTTCGGTGAGTTGAGCAGGGGTTTATCGCTAAACTTTTGACGTTTTTTGGAGGGATTTTGAGGTTTTGGTGATGTTGTTTACCTTTCGGGGGTAAAGTTTGGGGCTGGGGATGGGTTTTTGGACGAAAATGACGGATTTTTGAGTGGAAACTGTAATTTTTGTGGGCAGATATCGAACGTTGAGAATTTGTCACCTCAAATTATTCGGAGAGTTGCCAAGGAGATGACGGAATTGGCGGCCCATCCACCTGAGGGGATCAGGGTTGTCGTCAATGACGAGGATGTCACGGACATTCAGGCGGTTATCGAGGGTCCTGGTGAGTTTTTAGCGCTCCTTCAGGGAATTTTATGGGGCGAGATGAGAAAGTGAGAAGAAGGCATGACCAATAATATTTTGACATTATTAAGAAGGATTTTCTCCTTATATTGTTCAAAGTTTAACTACACGGAGAGAAAAACGACAAATTTCTCAGACAAGTCTCACTTGTGCCAAGATGATAGCTTTCTGAAAATAATCAAAAAAGGATTTTTCTGTGCCAAACATACAGTGAGTGCGCCGGAATACAAAATTTTTGTCGCAAAAATAGATTTAGTAGTTCAAAAAAAATTGCATTCTCTGTAGACGCAAGAAATGTCATTTTCTGTACTGCTTCTCACGATTTCTCGTCTGGGAATTGGTATTACATACTTCCCAAACTCGAAAACTTGAAAATCACTACAGAAAAATATTGTTCCTGGGCTGTTGCGATGGGGTTTTTTACTCGTGTGGCGTTGGCCTCCGAGCCGTAGGCGAGGACTGGCCAACCACACGAGTAAAAAACCCCATCGCAACAGGCCGGAAAAATACTATTCTAGCACTACTCCTTCGTTATTCGATACTCCCATACGTATTTTGCTCCTGGAAAATCTTTGTTTTATGCGATAAGGGATAGGGATTAAGGGATAGTAGTTTTTCGTTTCGGCTATCTAATAATCATAGACAACAAATGAACTCTTAAATGAAACAATAATAATGGTATGATAGCAATCTATAACTTAAGGATAAAATATTAGTTGATAAATTTTCCTCTATATGAGATATTTTCATCCTAAAAAGGCACCGTCTGGTGTGAATTATCCGCCTCTTGAGCCAAATATTTCGTTGCTGTCAAAGCAGAGCAATTATTCATAAATTCGAACCAAACAAATTCTTTTTTGGCAATTTTCAACTGGCCATTTTGTTGGCCCAAACAAGACTTGTTTTACAACGTGTTCGTTTTTCTCTTAGTGTATGAAGACAAAAGTCCCATTTGTTTTGCAGCTGAAACCCCGTATGCAAACGGACGCTTCAGGATTAAGCTAGCACTGGGAAAGGACTTCCCCCAGGGACCGCCCAAGGCATTCTTTCTCACCAAGATATTTCATCCAAATGTCGCCAAGAATGGGGAAATTTGCGTTAATACTTTGAAGAAGGACTGGAAATCTGATCTGGGGATTAAGCACATCCTTCTGACTGTCAAGTGCCTACTTATTGTACCTAATGCCGAGTCTGCCTTGAATGAGGAGGCAGGGAAGATGCTGCTGGAGAAGTACGAGGAGTACTCGGAGAGGGCCAAAATGATGACGGAAATTCATGCCCAGGTGAGGGGTTTTACACTAGGAGCTGGAGGGAATGAGCAAATGGAAAAACTGCTGGCTTTATTTTTTAGATTTTGAAATTGCTGATTTATCTTGATAATCAGTGGGTTCCGGAAGGAATGTTCGGGAAACTTTTTTGTAGAGAATTTTATTACCTTCGACAAACATCTGAAGCCATTTTTGGCTACAGCCACTCATTATTGCGATATTTTGAGAATTAATAGACCTAAATTTCATTAAAAAATCATAGTTCTATGAAATCAATTCCTCGCATTCTATTAATTATCTCAATAACGATTGGTTTTCATAAAAATGTTGAAAGACCTTTCTTGCAGAGAATTTCCTTTTTTACAAAAAATCATATCTATTTCCTGGGACAACCTTCTATCAAGAAAATTCCCCGCCCAAAATTCTACATTTCGTGTATTCACTCTTAAAAATGACTTATCAAAACAAATTCTCCTCAGGGTGGAGGCAAAGGCAGCAAAGCAGGACTCGAGACATGCACATCGTCAGATCTGGGTGGTCCCCTTCCAAAAAAGCACGCCGGTGACAAGAAGCTCACAGCCGAGAAGAAGAAACTCCTCAAGGACAAGAAGAGAACCCTGAAACGATTGTAAAACGACAAATCTCTCTCCTCTCCACTTTCATCCCCTTAGTTGAAGTATAAAATGGTCGAATTACTTTGGTGTGGTCAAAATCATCCGATCGATAGTGTCCTATTATCCTTGTGTAGAGAATTAAGCAGAATGATGAGGTATTACCTGATGTTGACTGATCGTATTGTTAAGTAATTAAATCCATCCCCTTAGTTCAATCTGACATCGAGAATGTCAGTCTCCATTTATTCGAGAGTAATCAATCATCATTCATCTTCCTCAATCACTTGTTTTTTTCTGTCTCCTCGTCATCCTAATGAATATTTTTACAATAATAATGTACAAAATAAAATTAAATTAAATGATCGCCTAGATGAATAAAAAAGCTTTCACAAAAATTCTTTTTTTTCCCTTTTATCTATTTTTTTTCTTAAATGGAGCTCAATGGTCTTAAAACGTTCATAATTTTTTGTTTTTCATGTGTTGCAACAAATAATTGATAGTGAAATTGAAAAACGTGATGTTGAAGGGAAATTGTTTTTCCAAGTTAATCAAAACGTATTTTTTGAATCTTCAATATCTTTTGGTCCAACGATGCGATTTGGACGAGTCACGTCTCATTTCTAAGATTGCAAAAATATCTTGAAAATGAAGAGAAAATTGTTGGAAGCCACTCAGCCAATTTAGCAAGCTTTTAAGTCCTCCAATGCCCTTAAACCGAAAGAATCCTGGGAAAATTCTGTGAATTTCTAGAGGATGCACCAGGAGAGGATAAATCATCTAAAGAAATGAAACCTTCAAAAAAATCCTTGGAAAAATCGTTTATTAATGATGAAATTTCTTTGGAGATTATCTCAGTCTTCAGCCATGTAAACCATTTAATGGCAATTATCTCTCTTTCAAATTCTGAAATCCCACAAGTCTTCAGGGTTATTTTTCATTTAAAAAAATGAAAGTAGTGAGTACTCACAGCCATTATTTCAACTACAAACGCTACAAAATTCACGTCAATAGTTTATCCATAAAAAAAATCAAATCAAATAAAAAAAAAGTAAAACGAGAAAAAGAAAAATTCACTGGCGAGAAATGTCTTTATACACGAGGAACAATGGGAATTACCTCTAGATTACGAGTAATTAATGAACCAAAAAAATGGTGATAATAAATCAAACTCGAAATTCATTCGAAGAAGAAAATTCCTTTGGAGATGAAATGTTTTTTTTTGTATTTTTTTTCTTCATTCGATCGCTCTTTGTCACAAATTATCCATACAGTCAAATAAATTCCTTCCTTCCTAGTTGTTCAATGATTTTTCACACAGAATGTTACAAATAAAAAATTAGTGAAGAAAAAAAAATTGTCTGTCACTCGTTCATCTCATTTTTAATAAATTCAATTATTAATTATTAAATCTCGTATTTTCTACAGCAATCTCTCTACGAACTTCTCTCTGAATAATATTTCCTTTTCAAGTAAAAAATGAAAAAATCAATGAATTTTTTTTTCTAGTTGATAAAACGGTTTGTAAAGAAAGAAAATTGTTGATAAAATAATGAACGAAGTGTTTCATATTTCGGTTAGAAAATTGTTGGTAAAGAACATTGCTTATTCGTGGATATTAAGTCAATAATTATTATTCTGTTAGGATTATTATCTTCGTGGGTTGATCGTGGTTACTTGACTTCCTTCACGTATGCTTCGAGCTCGGCGTCTAGTTCCTCAGCTGTTGGGGTCTTGGTTGGCTGTCTGGCACCTCCACCACGTCCACCCCCTCGTCTTCCTGCGCCACGACCTTTAACCCCAATTTTAGGTTTTTGGGTGTTTCCTGGATTTTTATGAGTTTTTTTTAATGAAAAATTGTGCGTGAGTGATGAAAATGAAATTTTGCATAATTTTCTGAACGTGAAAATTCAATTGAAACTGTTAAACATTTTTTTTTATTTCGATAAATAATAACTCCTTTTGTTTTTGAGGAAAGACATGAATTTAGTTCCAAAATTGATTTTCAAATTTCTTTTATTACCAAATTATTTTTTAGTTATTGTTTTTGGAAATAATTTGAGTTATGAAAATGGGCAATTTCATATTCTTTGGTTATTGTTGAAAATGAAAATAAAAAATTGAAAATATTAGAAATGTTTTTTTTTAAATTTCAATACGTCTCCTCTCGTTCATAATTAATTTGTAAAATTGATTTCTAAATTTCTGTAATTGTTAAATTATCTCGATTATGAATTGTTTCAGGAGGAAATGTCAAGAGACATTTTTTATAAAAAATGTTCTCACCTACAAAAAGGACTAGTGATATTTTCTTCTAAAATTACTTGTCCACGAGATTGTTCCTGTTTTTTTATTTAGTTTTTGTTATGAAAAATTATTTGATGTGTGAGTGATAAAAATGGGGTGTTGCATGAATTTCTTCAATTGCTGAATATGAAAATTAAATTGAACATATCAGACAAAAATATTTATAATAATAAATCCCCTTTCGTTTTCAATAAATCAAAAAATCTGAATGTAGTTGTAAAATCGTTTCTTAAATCCCTTCAATTGCTAAATTATCTCGATTATAAACTGTTTCAGAAGGAAATGTCGAGATATTTTTCATAGAGAACTGTCTCAGCTGCAAAAAAATTCTAGTAACATTTTCTTACAAAACTATTTGTTAACAAGATAAATTCAAAATGAAAAATATGTATAATTCTCTGATGAAGAATATTCTTCTACAGTTTCCTTTCTCATTTTTTTTATTACAAACGATATATCTGGAAGATTTCTTACCTCTAGGACCAGCGCCAGCACCACGTGCTCCCCTGAATCTCGTTGGAGACCTCTGATTGAAGTTGCCAGCAGCGAGTCTTGCTGGATTCCTCACTGATGTAGTCACTGGCAGTTCAGATGTTGCCACCTGAATATTCATCTCACGACCTGAAAATTCATCAATATAGTAATCATTTCCATTTCCATTAAATAAAAAAGGAAGATAACTACTTGTGTAATCAAGTGCTGACACAGAATAATTCAATATTTCTACATCTTCCCAAACATTAAATTCTTAATAATCATCAAGAGAATTTTCGGTGAAGAATTAAATTTCGAAAAGTCTCTTCACATTTCCTTTAATATGTATACTTTTCGTTTTATTTCTTTCTTGAATATTTTCTTGTTGTATGAGCCTCAATTTTTGAAGATATCTTCAAAAATTCTATAATTATCGAAGAAATGAGGGATTAGAGGGGAAGATATCAAGACATTTTTGTTGTAAAAAATGTCTTGATATCTTCCCCTCTAATCCCTCATTTCTTCGATAATTATAGAATTAAGAAACAACATTGAAATTATCACAATTCTTAGTTTCGTGTAGCTAATTAATTGCTAAAAAAAATAATTGATGAGTTACCACCGAGCGGTACAATTATCAAAAGAATTTAATTTTTGAAAAGACGTAAAAATATTCAAGGAAATATCAAGAGAGTTTTTTGCAAAGAACAAAATTTAAAAACGAAGTCCCTTCACATTTGCTCTAATATTTATACTTTTCGTTTTCATTTTTTTCTTTAATATTTTAGTTGCATAAGCCTAAATTTTAACTAAAAAATGTTGTGACAAAAAATATTAAAAAGTATTAAAATTATCACGATTTTCAACTTCGTGTAGTTAATTAATTAATTGCTAAAAAATAATTGATAAATTACCATCAAGCGGTACAATTATCAAAAGAATGTAATTTGTGAAAAGACGTACAAATAAAGACTCAAATTAAAAAACGAAGTCTTCACATTTCGTCTAATATTTATACTTTTCGTTTTCATTTTTTTCTTCAATATTTTATTTTTGCATAAGCCAAAATTTTAACAAAAAAATGTTGTGATAAAATTTTTTAAAAAGTATTAAAATTATCACGATTTTCAATTTCGTGTAGTTAATTAATTGCCTGCTAAAAAATTAATAATTGACGAATTACCATCAAGAGGTACTCCATTGTACTGTTTCATAGCCTTGATGGCATCTGCCCTGCGTTCAAAAATAACATCCGCTGATCCAAGAGATCTTCCAGATCTGTCGTAATGTACAGCTGCTGACTTGAGTGGTCCAAATTCACTGAACAGTTCCTATAAATCAATAAGAAAAGAACGTTAAAGGATTCGTGTGTTGTGATAAATCCAAAAAAGAAATAAATGATGGAAAAATTGTGATAACGAAGGAATAGAGGGGGTTTACCTGGATATCAGAGTCAGAGACCCCAAAGTCGAGATTAGAAACGAGAAGTTTTGTTGTTCCTGTGCCACCAATGGCACCACGGCCGACCTTCTTGACGCCATCGAACATGTCATGTTTCCAGGCACTGTTTACATCACCCTATCAGTGAACAAAGAGAAAACACATACGTCAAGGTCCTGGAGATAATTGTATTCATAACAAGAAATTTCCGAATAGGATTTTGTGAATTTTATTTGAATTTCAGTTTTCAAAACATTTCTTTTGACCTAGGGAAGATAGAAGAATTTTGGAAATATTTTTTCTTGCATTATTTTTCCAGAAAATAATCGTCCTCGAGGAAAATTGTGCAACTCCTAGAAATTTTGAGACATCTGCAAACAATTTTACTCGGAGATGGTGAGTCAGAAGAGAATCTTCCAAAATAATTATCTTAAATTCCGAATAACTTGAGATTGGCTGAGTAGAATTGAATGAGTTTGACGCCATTTTCAAGTTCTTTTATGAGGCTTTCAAATGAGAGCAGACTCATGCAAATTGCATCACTGGGTCCAGAGGAGTTATAGAAGTTACAAGATCTGAGAAATTCTGATTTGTGTTTTTGAACAGAAAAATAAACTTCATTTTTGGGGGATATTTTGGAGCGTAAGGGAGAGACAAAAATCTTCGCGAGAACATTGGTTGTTCTCTTTCTTCTCCATTAGAAAGTTTGTGACAGAAATACCCTCAACTCCCCTCAATTTTGGAATATTCTCCAAAGACTGAAGAGAAACTAAACTTAAGCCGCTTGTGAAACTCTCCAAAATCCGCAACCTTCAATGGTGAATATCTTGCCATTAGCAGAGTGAAATTCCAAAAATTACATGTCATTTTCAAGATAATCAAAAAACCTTCAAAATGAGCCCCGACTCATCCCAATCGCATCATTGTATCAAGGGGAATTCAAGATCTAAGAAACTATATCCCGCACGAAGCCAAATATCAAAATCAACTCTTTGTTAAATATCTTGAAATATAAAAGAGATAGAAAAAATCTAACGGCCACATTTTTGTAGCTCATTTTCCCTCTACAAAAAACTCCCTGACAAAAAATTCCCTTTCCCCCCCAGTTCCAAGATTTCCTCTAAAACCTTTCATTCAAACTAAAACTGACTGAATTATAAAACTATCCAAAATGCTCAATCGTCAATCGTGAATATCTCGCCATTGGCAGAGTGAAATTCCAAAAATCACACGCCATTTTCAAGATAATCAAAAAACCTTCAAAATGAGCCCCGACTCATCCCAATCATATCACTGCATCCCTACATATTCACTACTCAACAAGTGTAGGTTTCTCCCAGAAAACTCATTCTCAACCTTAATTTGGCAAAAATGATTCCCTGACCGTGAAAAGGACGCTAACTTCTAGGTTAAGTGTCCCTCATCCTGAAAAAACAAAATCCATACCCTAGTGTACGGTGCCGATGTTCTGGATATGCCTCCACGATTACGTCCCCTCATGACTCCACCACCAGCCCTCTGACCCCTAGCTCCACGTCTGGGTGATGCACCGGTGGCATTTCCACGTCCCCTTCTGCCTCCAGCACTGCCACGGGTTCTTGCACCCTTATTTTGTTTGATAATATCGTCCAGGCTCATTTCAATCTTATCAACCATCTTCATTTGTGTGAATTTTATTAATATCTCAGCACTCGTGCACAAAATAAAACCCCTGGGAGGTATTTTTTGATCGTCTTGGGAACGGTTAGCCGTGGAAATGCGTGCCAAACCCAAACCAACCTTTACACCGATCACTATGATAAAAATGGCGGCTGTAGCGTCTCCCGCGGTCTCGTTGTCGTGCAGCTTTAGGGCGCATTCTCATTACAGGCCATAATATCGAAATCATGCACTGAGAAAAATTAATTCTTTTTTAAGTTCAACTGGGCTTTTCGGGGACCCCAAATAATAAAGAGGAGAATCCAATAAAGCTCAACAGATAATGAGATTGACTTTCTCATAATGGAGATGACTTGTCACTTTGGTCTTTTGCAACGTTTGATCCTCGTGAAATTTACTCTTTATGAGGTATGAGGCTCATATTTTTCATTGTATCACGTGATGTAATTGCTTTGTCGCAGTGTGGGGAACAATATTTCATGTCTCTGGGCCCGGAAACCACAATTTAACCGAGAGAATCGATATTAGAATCGCGGTTTTGCGGTCCTAGGGACATAAAACGATATTTTATGCCACAAGTATTGACATCCGCGTTCTAACCGAACAAAGTGAAGTTAAAATTCGCGGTTTATCTGTCCTCGGGACATAATATACTATTTTCGTGAGAAGATCCGGTAAACCGCGATTCTAACCTCGCTTCGCTCGGTTTGATCGCGGTTTACGGGCCTTCTGACGAAAAATTGCATTCATCACACGGTCCAAAAGTATTTTCTGACGAATGTGATTATAGGCCTCGCCTTCGGCTCGGCCTACAAAGCCACATTCGTCAGAAAATACTTTGTGGACCTTGTGATGAAAATAACTATTTTTTATGATATTTATGCAATTGCAAGCTTTTTGAAGTAACGTAAAAAATGTAAAGAACCCGCGTCGAGGTAATTTGCGTAACTTACGTCGGTAAAAACGGCGTAATAAGGTAAACGCCGGCTGACTCTGTCAGCAATGACATTTCAATCATTTTGATAGTCCCAAGAGTCTTAAGAGTGAAGTACGATTGGAGTTATTATTTTATTCAATAAGAAAAGTTATAGACACCACTGCAGAGTGATTTATTGAATAATAAGAGAGAAAAATCACATTCACATCAACTTGTGCTACGACAGAGTTGATTCTTAAACCATAAGTTAAGAAACTCACAATTTTAAAACGTTGATATCTCCGTTACAATAGTAAAACGGAATTAAAAATCCCTTGGCTAAGGTTTCGAATAGTTGAAAATTTAATAAAAATGCATAAATTATAGCAATATCCGTATATTTCACTGAAATATTGCCAATTAAAAGAATAGGTACAATGAAAATGGCATTGATCCTATGCTCGTTTTGCACCCAACTGTCAACTGGTAACGGACTAAACGGATGAAAAAATCATTTAAAAGATTGGACTGTCCAATGGAAATATAATTTTGTGCATCGAGATATTTTTTAATGTTGTTTTATTACAAAATAGGTTACTCACAATGTAATTAGTTCGGATATATAACCTTTCCATATCACCCAAATCACGAGACGAACATAGGGACATGTGTCAAACGAGCATGGGGACAAATGAATGAGCGTAGGGACATGGGACTTTTCACATTCATGGACGATTATTTATTAAAAAATAGTAATTATCATAATTAATATAAATAAATAACAATTCTGAATATGTAATTTAAATCATCGCATCTTCACGCTCATTTCGATAGAAATATTGGACTAATGATGTGGTCACCTTAGCTAGACGAGCGTAGGGTCATTTACCTTAACCAATGTAATTTACAATCATTTACTAAAGTTCTTAAACGATTTGAACTTGGATCCTACACGAAGAGAAATATTCAAGAAAAATTGTGGAAAATTTCACGTAATCCGCAAGCCGAGAATCGTTTTCAGTGAATTTCTGTAGGAATATAAGAGAATAAATCTGAAACGTTCAGTAAATTTTTGGGTCTGTCACCGAAAAAATACGAAAAAGTCACGTAATTTTTCTGGGAGTTGTAAAATCTAACAGAAACTTCAAGACTTATTATTCCTCCGAACATGAATGTTCTTGGATGTTTAAGAATTTTTACGAAAAGTTCCGGAAAAATTACGAAACGTGTTGTTAAAATCTCCCCCTCACGGTGACTCATGGCCAGCCGTGAGGCGTCGGACGGATGAGTAATTTTTACGGTACAGATCGTAGAATTTACGTGACGATTGACACTTTTTATTGAATTTTACTTCGCTCCCAGATTACGTTTCGAAATGTAATTTTTACGTCTTTTTTCTGGTAATTTTTATTGAATATTTCTCTCCGTGTATGTATTTTGTTTCAGAACTTTAGTAAACGACTGTACACGCTCAATTCTGCTGTCATATAACGGTCATAAATTTGTCATGTGACAAAACAATGACGAACATTTTCACATTTCTACTCTTCATGCCGTGCACGGAGAGAAATATTCAATAAAAATTACGTATCTGTTCCGTAATTCGATCCGGAGCAAAATGTGGTTGTAGGGAATTTTACGGAACTGTCGCGGAATTTTTCCAGAGCGTTACATAATTTTTATCTGAATCTCCTGTGAAAAATTACGATACTGTCGCTTAAATTTTCTGAGTCGATTCCATAATTGGTGAGCGAACTGCGAGTTCTGTAATTTTTACAGAACATTTCTCTCCGTGTGAGTCACTCCAGCGTTGTTCTGCCCAAAGATATTCTTCAGGAGGAAGAGATAGGATCGCAATGTCTCCGATTCACAAATAGCCCTGACAAAATTATTTTACACACAAACAAGTTGAAATTTTATTATTTTCATAAATGTCTTCACAAATGTACGGTTAAATAATGTTTTAATGATTAGTAATGAATTATTAGTTCATAAATTGTGAAAATGGTTTCCTAAAATTTCTCAAATGATTTCCCAATCATTTCGTCGATTGGGTCTAACACCCCTACCCTTACCCCTACTGTTAGACGGTCTGCGGCCCCTGTTCTTCCATGGGCGGGAACCATCGCCGCTACGTCTGTTGCCATTATTAGCTGATGTGCCAGAATTAGACTGATCCCTGCAGTCTTTACGGAAATTTTCGAATGTAGATCTCTTCAAAATGCTTTGGAATTGTGATAGTCGACAAGTCGTTTCACATCCAGGAATAGTCAGCTGAACAGATGCTTTTACCAGAGGTGTGCCATTGTTGTACAACACCTGAATATAAAAACAAAATCAAATTATTAATAAAATATTGATTTCGAATCATCTAATTTTCGTCAAATGTCCACCAACCTTGACATAAAATTCATCCCATATCCTGTGCAACTCCAATGTGACAAAACTGCCGTAATTAGGAATATGCTGGAAGTCATAAACCTGCAGAGCAGCTAGAAGTCCGGTTAGGTGGACATCACTTCCCACGTAGACAAATACTCTCCTTTGCCTATTACCCTTCACGTAATTGTCAACATTGTTCAAGAATTGTTGGATGTGGGTACCTCCAGTCAGGCGCTTCATACTATCCGAGTCGGTCAGGAGCTTATTCCCCAGAAGAACGAGATGCTTCAAAGATCCATTTACAAATAGTTCCTCCCTGGTCTCTGAGGAAAGGCCAATATTCGCCTAAAAGGATTCAGTTATGATTAATATTGTAAACTTATTAAAGACCATTTATCAATGGAAAGAGTTGATTAAATAATCGATTTAGAAAAGAGACGATCGTACATGAAGGTGGTTGAGACGGAGGAAAAGAACAAATACGCAACAATATGATTTTGATTAAGGTATATGTGCTATAGGATTCCCTATAGAATTTCCTATCAGATTTATGAACCTAATCCTGACACTAGTGACCGATTGGTTTCGAGTCTCAATTTTGTGTGTTACTTTCTATAGAAAACCTACAGAAAATATAGAAATATAGAAATCCTACAGAAAATCCAATAGTGAAATCCCACCAGAAAAATCCTATAGGAAATGTTCGAATTCTCCATAGGATTCTTTCATACGTGATGCTCCCTGTCAACTCCATTATCAATAAATTACCCGAGTTCACTGATCCGAATGCACTTTTTTTTCAATCGGACGAAAATTCAATGAGACAAAAAAGAAGTGGACCAAAAAATGAGTAGACGAAAAAAAAAGTGGGAAATTGGTTTTGACTTCGTATAGCATAGCTATTTTTACTATCATTCTCTTCTATCGTATATTATTTATCAATTTATTTTATTTTGTTCAAATGAACTATATCTTCTCTTTAATCATCTTATTTTCGGCTGATATGTAACATGAATGGAAATTTGAGGAAATACGAAAAATCGCCGGTGGTCGGGTTTGAACCCACGACCCTTAGGT